GGGTTAAAACTACTTTTTAGAGAAAGGCTCCTCTTAGTCCAGTGTATCTGAAAACATTCCAATTTTAACGTATATCATAGAAAAGGCCATAATAATGTCGATAATTAACTAATAAGACATACAGTATCCGTAATTAGTCTGGGTAAGATAATTTTCGAGCATTAGATGTTATGATAGTAACATCATTTTCAGGCTTAGACGCGACAAATATGAAATGGCGACACTTGATTATCGAATACCTTGAAAGTGTGATCCTAACAATAAAAAGGATTCCCCAACTCCTTCCCATATCATTCTTTCAACGATAATACTTAATGGCTGTGTTTATCCACTAAAAATTGTTCGGGTGCATTCAAAACTAGCCTACATATCCATAAAAAAGCTTATTCAAAAGTGGAACTTAATAACTGAAGAATTGGATAATGGCAGCTGGATTGTCAAAGCGAAGCGCCTCAATGGCAAGGAAATGAGTAAATAGTAAATGAAATGGATATCACATAAAGGTAAAAAACATAATAGGTATAAAAAACTAACCTTCAGATTTTACTTCATGTGAACGGTTTATCGAGGACATTTTCTGGGTTGCATCAGCCTATGAATAAAATTTAACGGACTTATCAGTGATTAGAAAAATATGCAAGGCTAAATTAGATCAATAAAAAGCGGTTGTGAAAAACTATAAATAATAAACGGTAAAGGATTAATGTGAAAAATAGTATCATTTTCCTTCACATTTCCAGCTAAAACTTCATTAGGCCATACTCGAATGGCACATGCTATGCAATCTATATTTTTTTAAACGCAGCAAAATAATTCAGCTTGTGGACAGGATAATTTTTTTTATTTCCTCCCACTGAATGGCCTAGTTAAATGTCAAAATAATTGGGTATTGGAAATTATTGGGGACAATTTTGATAGGGTCCTCTAAATACTTTCGAGCTTAATCCAAGATAAGTTCCCTATTATATCCTCAGGACCACTGTTTTATAATATAAAGCCTATTTATAAACTTGATCAAGTGCATCAAACTCAAGGCACTACTTTTTCCATAGTTAATCATTAAAAATGCTATTTCAAAAGATTCCGCCTTACATATAAAAAAGAAACTAAAATTAAAAGGGAGGACTGGGGGATAGTTCAATTCCGTTTACGATTAAGGGGTAACGATAAACAATTACCTCATCTAGAGTAACGTTTACTGGCGAAACTGAAAGATTGTTCAAGGACACCAGGCACTGACGAACTCTTCTACTTCGGCGAAGACTGTTCTCCTCCTGACCGACTGAGTTAATAGACTCATCGTTTGGGGATGAAAGTATGTGCCGTTTTGGGGGTCGTCCTCTTAATAAAAAAAGACATAAAAAAAATCTAAAATTTAAGCATGTAGGAATGGAGTTGGTTCTAAATAACTTAAAGCGCTCATTAAAATTGTTTCAGACACTTTCATTTTGCACGAAAATGCATGAAGAAATTCGTTGACTGATGGCAGCCGATTCCTGCTGTCCCGCAGCCGTTTGACCTAAATACAAGGTTAAGGTTGACACAGTTAACGAGACAACTTTCATCGTTTTGAGTGGGACCAGGCTGAGCTCTAGTACATCATGGTACCGACATCATCAGATTTAAAATTAATTCCTGTAAGCCTCAAGTCAACTCTACGTAAAGAATACTATCTCGCTCTATCCTATATGGTATATATATTCAACTAAAAAACGAAAATATAGGTATAGAATGATTTATAAGATGCATTCAACCAATTTCGTTTAAGGTGATGAAAGACTGGTAGAAGTAGAATTTTCCCACAAATGATATGAGTTGAACTAACGTTTCCATTGAATATTTACATAGCTTTGCTTTTCCAAAAGTTGTTCTCATCCAGGGTGGACTGCAGTTTCGACCTCGCATTGGT